TAGTAAAGATCTAGCTCCATATCTAGAGGTGATAAAACGCAACTTTAGTAAAGGTTCAGACTTGCAAAAAACTAACGACTGGAGAATGAAAAATTAAATAGATTATTCAGTGAAATTATATCAAATAAAATTATTACAAAAGATTAAGAGAAAGATTCTAAAGACCAATTAGCTCAAAAAACTGGCGGGGAAATAGACATTCAAACTCGGAATATAAAAAAGATGCAACTGAAATAACTAATGGCACAGATTAAATAACTAACAATGTGAAAAAAACAATTTATTGAAAAACTTTGGCGGATTATATATGTATAAAATAAAATAGCATAGGCAATAATCTAACTTGGATGTATTTCTTCGGAAATGCTGAATCTGATTCTTGTTGAATTAATAAAATGTTGTCTGCCTCCTGTGCTATTTTGGCGCCCCCATATAGGCTATTTAGCGTAAGGCGTTGCTCTCCATCTCCTTCCTAGAAACGGAACAAATAACGCAATTTGAAAAAGTCAAGTCAAGTGATATTAAGACATTCGAATATGATACCTTGCGAGGATGCGCAATCAAAGTAAGATGACAACCGGATTTCGTGGCAAAAGATCGAAGCCTATGGACAAATCTATCTTGATGCATAAATCTATCCTCAAACAGCTTAACATTATTGCCCAAAATAAATTGGAGATTGTCTAGGATAATGTGAGAAATTCCGATTTCATTAACTCCTTCTTCCATCACCTGAAATAAATGAATAACCGCAAGTTATGCAAGAAAATATGAATTAGTATACCTCTTTAAGTTTAATAAATAATTCAAATTTTGGTGCAAGAATTTCTCAGTATAACTCCATTTATAGTTGAGAAGATAGCATGGTGGCCAGATTTTGAAGGAAGCTGGAGGATGACACGGATATGGTAAAGAAAAGATTTTAATCTAGTCGGTTAAGCATACGCTTATTCAGCAATAGCCGAAGTATTCGAGTCTCACAAATGTGATGCATTAACCAAAATCATGTAAAACAATGCAAGAAGCATAATTGTGAGGATTACTTAAAAGAAGTGTTATTTGAATGACAGATACGCCATGACAAATTTCTTCTACAGATGCTAGTAACGTAAAGTCTGTCTTGCCTTAAATATTATATCTGCTCAGCAAATAAATGAAGCAAGTATAAGCGTAAGAAAGTAGGGTTTCGAGACTACATCTCATTACAAGTATAAGCTGTACGATGTTCGTAAAGTTCAATTAATATTTTAAGTAAGGTCAAGGTCGGCGAAAATTTAGGATGCTGGAAAAGTTCAAGGATGGAATAATTGATTTATTGAATAGCAAGTCATATCTATTCACCATTATTAATTACATAAGTGAGCTGCAAAAGTGTGAATTTTCCAAATTAATAGATAAAAAAATTTGCGGCCAAACGTCAAGCGAGTCCACTTCCTAATCTTAAAAGTGTCCAGCAAATGATTCTTCAAAGGATCATTCAAGCACATCTTTTCATAATATAAGGGTTTACAAAAAGTCTGGTCGAGCTCAAATATAAAACAGACTTCCCGAGAATATGGTTAATCTATAAACGGGATAAGATATGAGTCGAGTAAAAAAAGGGGAAAAAACTGAAATGAAATAATCAATAGATTATAATGAAAGAGACCATAATAAATAGCATCTAGAAAAAGATGGGGTCTTATATTTTAATGTTGTTGATTCGATCTTGCTTTCGCAACTTGGTCGAAACGTCAGGGAGACCTTGTGGAACGTACCTAGTCCGTGTCCTCTGCCAAAGTATTCGTGAGTTTCAGCATGGACCATTGGCTGGGACTATGGCAGAGGACACGAGACGATACACTTTCAACAAGGTCTCTCTGATGCTCCAACCAAGTTATGAAAACAAGGTTGAACTAACAGCATTATAAAGCTAAGGGAGACTGCGACCAAACACAAGATCCCACCATCTTGGTCGTCATATCTACAAATTATATTTTAAACTCATCAAAAAAGTATACTCATAAGCATGGTTAGAGCGATCGCTAACTAAATGATATTTCTTTTGGTTCAACCTTGTTCTCCAACTTTGTACGATCTCCAGGAAAACCTTGTGGAACGTACCTAGTCCCGTGTTCTCTGCCATAGTATTAGTGATTTGCAGCATTAGACCATT